TTGAGGCGGCTGAGTGGCGACGCGAGCAGTGGCGGTGGCGCCGGCCATATCGCGGCTGGCGCAGGAGCGAGCAGCCCTTGGGTCCTGTGACAATGTGATATGGGTGCAGGTAGCAGTGACGCAGACAGCACCTGTGGTGTTTGCGTTGAGTCCAGCTCTTTTGAAGAGTGACTAGAGCGCAAGCGGCCTACCTTGCCGCGCGGCTGGGGGGCACAAGCTGCCCCACACCTGGTTTGAAATCGGTTCAAATCTGTCTTCTGTTGGTCCCAGTGACCTGTTCCTTGATATTTCTTTGAGTTGCTTGGCTGCCTCTAGATTTTGCAGTTTGTAAGTGTCTCTTGCTTTGTTACCACCAGAAAGAGGCAGATGCACGGATGAATATCCTGCCAGTTGCGCCACAGGCTTCAGCGAGATTATGTAAGTCATGTATGCACAGGCCAAAAAATACAGTTCCTTTGTGCAAGGCGTGTGAATGTGCATATGACAACACCGCCACGCGTGCTGCGGCGGGGAGCGGGCGCCGGTGCGTAGTATGAAACCGCGTCGGCGCAAGTGAGTGAGCCGAATGATGCGCAATGTGCTGAGCTGACCGAATACGGTCTGGTCAAAAACAACGCCCGGCAGCCCCTCGCTCCGACGTCAAAACTTCCCCAGGAGGCGCCCAGCCCGCCAGCCCCCTGGCTGCCAGCCAGCAGCCCGTGTCAAACGGCGGGCAGGAACGCCTCGTCAGCAAACGGGTCCTTGTCAGCGTCGGTTGCAGGGATATATTCCGCGTACTGGGCCGCCTTGGCCGCCACCTCAGCGCCGAGGACCTCCTTAAGAACATGTACCGCCATGTCCGCCCCCGCGCTGACGCCTGATGATGTCACAAAGTTGCCGTCCCGCACCCACCGCGCGGAGCGCACCCAGTCGACCCTCGGGTTGACCGATTTGACCCAGTCGAACGCCCTCTTGTTGCTCGTCGCCCTGCGGCCGTCCAGCGCGCCCGCGGCGGCCAGCAGCGCAGCGCCCGTGCAGACCGACATGCACAGCTGCAGGCCGCTGCTGGGCGCGGCCCAAGCGCGGATGTACTCGAGCAGAGCCGGGTTGGCGGCCTCGCGGCGCGTGCCGATGCCGCCCGGCACCAGCAGCCAGTGCAGCTGCTGGTGGGACGGCGGGGACGGGGGCGTCGCGGGGCGGCCGTTGGCGCTGGGGGAATGCTGCGGGCTGGCGGCCGGGGGAGGGAGGTCGGCGAAGGAATAGCTGGCGATGACTGATACTGTGCCTGTGTTTGAGGTGTGTGTGTGTGTGTATGTGTGTGTGTATGAATGTGGTTTGTGGGCTGGTGTAAGTCCGTGCGCTAGTGTGTAGGGGCATACACATGCATGTGCGTGCGAACATGTGCGCACGAGAAGGCAGACGTGCAAACCTGGGGGTGTGCTGCAGTGTGTTGCGGCAAGCCGGCGAGAATCACGAGCCCAGCTGTGCTGAGCCACCTCACCCCGCCCTTGCGGGAGCGACCCTTTCAACGCTGGTACCCCATCCAGGCCTCTCGCGCGTGCCCAGCCCCGCCGTGTCGCGACCGCTAACCGCGGCGCACCTGTCACGCTCGTGACGGGGCCCGCGTTTTCTGCAATGTACAGCATCTCGATACGGGGCCGGCCATCTGCATCCTTGACGGCACCCCAGATGTTGACAGGGGCGACCCAGTCAAGGGGCTCGTGGCCTGGGAACAACAGGACGCCGACGCGGATCGGAGAGTCGGGCGGCGACGACCCCATCGTGCCGCAGGTTGGGTGCGAATGCGTCGGGCTGCAGTGGAATCCTGCCTGGCGGGGCACGGCCGTGTCTGTGATATCGATGCTATTGAAAGCGATTGGCGAGGAGAGTATGGAGTGCTCTGATGGGGAGGGTCGGTGCCCAAATCTGATCAAAGTAAGTATATAACTATGTGTGGGAAAACGCAGACAAGCCAGTGGATATACTACACAGCGACTTCATGCCATGTCTTTGGGACACATGGGGGCATGGCTTCTTCATCACTAGCACAACACCAGAACGAGTCGCACCCCCGCCTCCCAAAGCGCTTGCCTGGCGCATGCCAACACCACTGGTCGCGGCATTCCAACCACACTGTCGCCCATGAACGCTCCTGACAGCAGCATGCTCCAAGATTGAACGTTGCTGTGCCTGCAGTACGGCATTGCAAAACCACCACGTGGCGGGGGGTTGTACATCACATGCGGGCCGCGGGCCGGGCCCCGCCTCAGCTATACTAATCAAACACCAGAGCAGCCAAGTCAGATGCGTCCACGTCGAAACATGCAGGCAGCTGGGCTCACATCTGTGAGTTGCGCTGCAGTCAAGTGTGCTGAGCGACCTAGGTTCGTCAGTTTGTGTGTGCGG